GATAGATAGATAGATAGATAGATAGATAGATAGATAGATAGATAGATAATAGATGGGTGATCAGTAGATAAATGATGATAGAGATAGAGAGATGATGGATGGATGGATAGATAGATAAACAGATGATTGATAGATAATAGAGATAGAGAAATGATGGATGGATAGATAGATGATAGATGGTTGAGAGATGATAGATGATGGATGGATAGATGATTGATAGCTAATAGAGATAGAGAAATGATGGCTGATGGATGGATAAATAGATAGATAGATTGATAGATGATTGATAGATGATAGAGATAGATGATGGATGGATGGAAAGATGAGATGATTGATGGATGATAGAGAGAGATGATAGATGGATGGATGGGTAGATGACAGACAGACATTCAGGGATCTTCAGGTGGCCCATCCCAGGAAGACAATGTTGGTGTCTTCTTCTAACGAAGTTCTAAGTCTAGATTCCAGGCATCTGACTTGACTTCCCCTACTTTGCCCTTGCAGGAAAGGAAATGATTGAGACTTATTTTGACTTCCGTCTCTACCGAGTCTGGAAAACCCGCCAGCATTCCAAGCTGCTCGATTACGATGACATTTTATGAGCGCCGCCAGGACGGGGCCAGGAGGAATTTCCACGGGTATCCCGAGCAGGCGGGCGTCGCAGAGCGGGAGATCTTTTTCACGGTTGCCAGGAGGCCCAGAGAGGCGCCGTGAGAGGCCATTAGGGCCTTCAAGAGGTCCGCCGGCATCTTGAGGCACACGATGGATGGAGCACCACGGACGGGGCCAAGGTGGCAGATCTTCAGGGACCGAGGGTGGTTTTAGATTGCAAGACGCCCAACGCCATGACAGGTTCTTCTCACAAGACATTTGAAGCTCAGGTTTCCTACAGAGACTCAACCAATCATCTTGTTTAACTCTACTTCGCTGTCATGGAGGGCCAGGACCTTCTCGGTTCTCTCCTGAGCACCTGGAGATGATCCATCAAACCCTTCGATGAGTTTGAAGAAAGCCGGATCTTTAAAAAAAAAAAAATCTCATCCATTTTAAGAACACATGTGAACTCTCTGTCTCACACACACACACATACACACACACACACACACATACATCCATACACATCTACAGAAGTGCAATTTTCTTTCTTTCTTTTTTCTTACAAACAGAGGAAATATTTAATCAACTGTTGCAGTACTACGCACACCGAATATCTGGTAGATGAGATATTTTTTTTGAGTCTGCTTGAGAATATATTTAACAAAATTATAGATATATATATATATAAAATTATATATATATATATATCGGTAGCTAGAGATAACCACTGTCCAAGCACTTTCTGCATCTAGCTGCAAATCTGCAAAATCCTTAACTTGGATTCCAGCAAAACTCTTGGAGGGACACTTCAACTGTAGAAAGTACCTTCAGGACAGACCTCAATGTTATTTTTTATTTTTATTTTTTTCAATTTAAGGAGCAGCATCCTTAATATAGTTTGGCAAAAATGGAGTTTTGCCAGCTGTTATCTGCTAATAGGGCTGAGGGGGGGAAATCTCAGCCAGTTTATATATAGATAGATAGATAAATATATAAATAGATATAAATATAAATAGTTTGCAGATTAGAAATCAATAGCCATGTTTAAAAGATCCACTCACTGCAGTTCATATTTCGGGCGGGTGGTTAGTTTTTGGACCAGTGGGCTGTTTTGATGAGCTGGTGAGAATATCTACTGTAGCATTTTGATTTCAGCGGGTGGAGTTGGAAGACAAACTCGGTTTTCTGTAGCATTGAATCTTTCAAGGCCCAGGGATCTACTCCACTCTCTCTTTCTGCTTTGTCCCAGAGGGGGAAAAAAAAATTCCCGGGCCAAAACTTCATCCTAGTTTTCTTTGTTCTGTGTGGGTGACCGTATATTTAAACAATGCAGATTTCACTTCGGGAAGAAATGTGGTTGGGAATTCCTAAGAAAGGAACAATTTGGCTTTGTTACATAGGACAGAGCAGGAATGGGGGGCAATGGTGGAATTCAAAATATTGTGCTACCGGTTTTGTGGGCGTGAGATTCCTTTTAACAACCAACTATTCTCTCTTGGACAATTTAGCAATTATCCCTAGCTTTCTGTGACCGGGCTGGTTTTGTTAACTTTGAAATCAGGAGAGGGGGAAAAATGCGTTGAAAGATGTGACTTCTTGACCTTTTTCTTGTTAAGGGTTGTGCTTTGTTCTGTCCACAGGTGTGCCTCTCTCTTTGTGTGCCTATCACACTTTTTCCCCTCTGCGGTGCAAAACCACCGTGGCAATTGATCCGTGAAGAATCGCGTCCTAATTTATTTTTATTTATTTATATTTTGTTTAGTTTTGCATGCATTTGTTAATGTACACACATGCTCCCTATAGACCATGTTTCCCCAAGCGTAAGACCAGGTCTTATATTAATTTTTTGCTCCAAAATACACATTAGGGCTTATTTTCCAGTTAGGTCTTATTTTGGGGGAAATATGGCATTAAATGCATCCGTTTGACTGACAATCTTAACTGGGGCTTATTTTTAGGGTAGGGCTTATATTATGAGCATCCTGAAAAATCATGCTAGGGTTTATTTTCTGGTTGGGTTTTATTTTTTTAGAGGAAACGCAGTATGTACGCACCTGCTCCTGTGGGCAATATGGCAATATTTTTTTCCCGTGCTGGTGTAACTGGATAGTCACTCAAGTAAGTCGAGGACTTCCTACACCTCCGACAAGTCTATCAATCTCTTCCCCCACCCCTACTGAGCCTATTGATATCCCATCACCCCAGGAACCTTCCATCAATATCTTCCCCCCTCCCCAAATTTTAAAATCGATTATTTACGGGGCCTTTTTGCAGCCTTTTTTGGACAATCCTACCCATCATCGATTCTCCTAGGAACCTAAACCAGGAAAAAAAAGGAAATAAAGCAGAATTGCCTTTTTTCCCACCTTTAAATCATCAGCCTTGGGAAACGGGAAAAAAAAGGCTGTCTGATCTTCCCCTTTTATCCCCACTCAGGAACTGCTGCTAGCAAACTTCTCCTTAACGTTTGAAGCCAAAACTAATTCAGAGCCTCTTGAGTCTCGTCTTTGGGGTGAAACCTCCTTGGATATTTATTTTTATGTTCCTCCGTCTTCCCAGGAGGAACAGAAACAGATCGAGGGAGAGAGTTTCTCTCCCTAGATTCTCCTTTGCTGTCCTTTGCTGTCTCTGCCTTGACACCTTTGGTGGAAGTTTGGCAGGAACAAGTAATTTAAGGATTGATGTAACCTAATGATTTACACCGGTGTGCACGTCTACCCGCAAAAGCTTATTTCAGTTTTTCTTTTTGTCCTCATCCGAAAGAGAAGACATTGCTACATTGCTTAAAAGGACATAGACTCCTAAGGCTATACGGGACCTTGGAGGTCTTCTAGTCTAACCCCTTTGCTCAAGATTGATTTGAACCCATCTCAGTCCAATGGCTTTCCAGTCTATTTTTGCAGACCTCCCAACAATGGAGCAAGCTATTCCCTTGATTAATTATTCTCACGATCAGAAAATTTCTCCTTATTTTTCTCTCTCTCTCTCTCTCCTTGTAACTCATTTGCTTCTTATCCTGCCCTCTGGTGCTTTGGAGGAGAAGAGAAGGACCAAAGAGAGAAGCGATCTGGCATGAAGGGGAAGCTTCCTAAACAGTGAGGACAATTAACCAGTGGAACAGCTTGCCACTAGAAGTTGTGGGCGCTCCGTCATAGAGCCTTTTAAGGAAGAGACTGAAATGCCTGTCTGAAATGGTTTAGGCAGGTTTCCTGCTTAAGCAGGGGAGGGGGTTGGGCTAGAAGACTTTGGTGGTCCCTTCCAGCTCTAATTCTGATTGATTAAGCCGAGTCTATCTTGGCGGAAGGGATTTCAAGATCGGCTTGCGATCCTGGCGGGGTTTGGTGACGCCGAGGAAAAATTTGAGAGCGTAGCGGATTTATGCCAAGGGTGTGGCATCCTTCTTTGATCCCTCCTGTCCAACATGGGCTAACAACCCGGATGTGAAAGTAATAAGTCAATAGAAAAAGATGTGCCATGCCTTCCTTGTTTCGTGTTAGTTTGCTGAGTAAAAGCTTTGCTTGAAATAGGAAGATAAATTGTGTCTGGGCAGAATATATATTTTTATTTCCTTGGTTCCAAGGCCATTAAGTCTTGTGTGGGCTGAGGAATACCTACCACAGAAGGGATTCTCTTTTTAAGTCTTTTCCCCTCTGCCTGATGCGTAAAACCTTTCTGGTATATTCGAACTGATCATTAATATATATAATTTTTTTAAATTCAGGCGTGGCCTGATGGTGAAATCTAAGGGCTTTTATAGAAAGCAACGGTGTGGGTGTGTGAGGTTTCCTTCTTGATAAAGGGGAACCAATTTGCTTCGTATATTCAGAATGGGATTTTAGTGGTGTGAAATAGAAGCAAAATTCTATCAAGTGTGGATTAGAACCCCTTTTTGGATAATCAGGTCTTTGCTTAAATCCTCTTACTTTCAGCTAGAGAAAGCTACGAAAATGGGCAGGGTTGCTTTCAAACATGTCTTCTTCTAGGTAGGGTTGTTTAAGGGCATGCTTTATCTCCAGGTGTGTGGTGACATCATCACTATCCTGTCCAGGGTCTGACAGCGCAGAAGGCACTCCTGAGCAGGGATGTCTTTGGCTTCTCTTCACGCCGAGGCCGGCTTCCAAGTGGTAGCACCTAGGCAACCTTTTTTGATCTCAAAAAAGGTCCTACTTGGACGAGAGATTTCCCAGGAAATTCCAAGGTTAGGAATTGAGGACACCCTCTTCCCAGCAGGTCCCAGATCCCCTGCAAACCTGGTTGCTCTGCTAAAGCCATTGCGTGAACTTGGTGCGGCCACCGAAGTCCTGTGTGCTTTCGACCCTTGGAGTTCACCATCTCCATGAGCAAAGGTCAGACGGCTCTTCTGATCTCCAGGGAGAACTTCAACGACTTGGTCCCAGCCTCTTCCACCGCTTGGGGAGGTCGGGTTTTATCTGACATAGTTGCCTTAGAAGCAATCCACCAACTGAGGTGGGAATGAAGCCATTGCTCTCCACTTCTGGTCCTGAGCAAAGATCTTCTAGTAAAAAGCTTCTTCAGCTCAGTTAGACAACTGGACTTTCCTGGCGCAGAATCTCATTAGCTCTCTAAATCCTGGGCTGTCAGAGAAGAGGAGGCAGAGCTAGGAGGGCAGAGTTAAACATGTCATCAGCTTAGAATCATTAACGTTGCAACAAACCATCCAACCCCTCTTGAATTCTGTTGACCCTTATCAGGCACCAATTTAGCGTTGAACTTTACCTGGCTATATTCTTGTGTACTGACTTGAATAAATCTTCTATGCTGCATCCTAACACAGGATTCTGATTCTTGGGGCCGGACACGAATCTAGTCAACTGAAATTCAGCACTAAATTGGTGCTAGGTGAGGGTAAATGGAATCCACAAGGAGCTGGACCGCTTTGTGGCAACATAATAAGTCTAAACTGATGATTCATTTGACTCCATCTCTTTAGTTCTGCTTGATCATCTCCTGCAAGGCAAAGTTGATTGCCGCGTTACTAGAGACCAGGAATTCCAAAGCCAACCTTGACACTTCAGGACTGCGGTTCTTCCTTGCACTACGTAACGTACAATTGTGGGATAAATTAACGCACCAAATGTATGGTGCCACCTGGAATTACAGGCACCACCTGTCTCTTAGTGTTAAGAGAGACTCCTTGCTAAATCCCACCCATTCGTACGCTTG